ACACAGCACAGCCAGGTCACGCCCATAGTACCCCCCATAGCGACAGCACAGCCCAGTCACACCCACAGTGCCCCATAGCGACAGCACAGCCCAGTCACGCCCACAGTGTCCCCCCATTAAAAAGTGGATTTCTCAAGCAGAGAACAAGCAGTTGAAGTAAAAGGATGTTTTTCCTCACCTTGCAGCCCCGACAGCAGAGCCCGCTGCTGCACATGGCATCATGGGTGAGGGTACACTTCTTGCAGCAGGCTCCCCCATTCTTGGCACACTCCTGGCGAGAGAGCGAGTGAGCGTCAGCACTGCCCCTGACCTCCCAATCGCCCTCACCCGCTCTGCTCCCGAGACACGGCTGGGCACGAAACATCAGTGTTTCTCCCATGTCCAAATTCTCTTACTCACCCAAAAATATCTGAAGACCACAGCTCTTTGTTCGTACTGAAGAGTAAATAATTAGTTGGCATTTCCTAAAAGATGAGGCTGGAACGCCACTGAGAAACAGGAGTGTGTCTCAGAAGGCCTCCATGCCCCAGTGCCCACTCTGTACCCTCAGTACCTTCCGATACATCGCAACCCCAGCAGTACCCTTGCATAGCTCCGATTGATGGAGAACCATACAAAAACAAGACAAGACACATGCAGAGGAGCTGACCAGTATTTGCCACACTGGTGTACATGAGGCATCTGCCTGCTGTGCAGGGCCCAGAGCCACTCCAGGGCTGCAGTGTTCATGTCTGCTCGGTTTTTTCCATGGTGTTGTGCCGAGCGTGGCGTGTGCGTGTCTTACCAGCGGAGAGCCACAGTCACACTCCTCGCCCGTCTCCACAAAGCCATTGCCACACTCCGGGGCCTCCAGCAGCTGGCAACAGAGAGAGACCAAGCAGCTCCAGTTCAGCACAAGACAAACTTAAAAGAAGGTCCAGATAAATGATTAAAAGATCCTCCTGCCCCAGCCCCATCACTGTCCTGCTGGGCTACACCCCTCCTCTGTGTGCTCTTCACTGCTTCTGTTTCTGCACAGATGCAGGAGCTGGATGTTCTTTGTTCGTATCCTCCCTGTTCCTCCATCATTCTGCATCTCCCACTGTCCCGTCTCTGTGCTGCTCCTCCCTGCCACACTGCCCCTGTCAGCTGGAGTACGCACATCCAGAAACACCAGGCCAGCACAAAGATGCCTCTTTCTAAAACACAGCTCGGTGCACCCCAACCTCGCAGCAGACAGGAGGGGGGCCCCAATCCTGTGGTTAAACGGCAGGCTTTGCTTGGCTGCATGATAACTAATCCAGAGCAGCTCCTGGACCCACCTGGGCAGGCTTGTTGAAGAGGCAGCTGCCTCCGCCCTGCTGCAGGAAGCGGAGGTACTCGTCCACGCTGCACCGTGCGAACCTCCTGGGGAGGTAGAACCTGCAACACAAAGGTCAAAGGTCAAGTGGGGTCACACACACTTAACCTCATTCAGGGCAGATTTCCACTGTGCTTACACTGCACCGACTCTGAAACAGAGTAATGGACTTATGAACTTTCACATAAACTTCTTATAAGGTGGGGATTCCTACAGATGCCTTCATGTTATTCAATCAGGAGGGAATGAAACTCAGAAGACATGGACACAGGAAGACCCTCAGACTGTTTGTTGTACAAGGAGAGCACCTGCCTCTGGAATCAGGCACTCTAACAATCTGGCCAAGGAAACTCTCTTTCTCAGCAGGAGTGTATTCAGTGCCAAGGAAATCTCTTTGCCAGGCTTCAACACTAAAGCACGCTATGGGTATGCAGATTTCCTCAGAGCACCAGTGCTGCCACAGCCCCAGAGACCCTGGACACAAGCAAGAGACAGACTGGCTTGCGCCCATGTGTGCAGGGCAGCCATGCTGGAGGGGAGGCAGAGCAGCTCACAGGGTGATTTACTTGCGTCTATGATTTGTCCAAGAATCTGAACAGACAGCCAGTGGCCACCTCAGAGCCAGCGGACAGGGGACTTACCCAGTGTCCTCCATGATGCAGCCCATCCAGGTGTCTGGACACCGGCATTCCCCTGTGTGAGCGAGAGACACGAGAAGGACAGGGAGGGAGAGAGAGGGCAGAGAAATAGAGAGCCATGGAGAGGTTAGACAGAGAAGGAGAGGAAGAGAGGGAGTCGAAAGAGAAAGAAATGCAAGACATCAGTTTCAAATTCACCACGTGCAGTAATGTGGATTTCTAACTCCATTTCAAAAACAAGGTAAGTGGAAATAGCCCCGGGGGTCAGTTTTCAACAATTTAATTTCTGATGAGAAACGAAAGCCTGTTTCGCAACAGTTATGGGCTCCCAGCCTAGAAGCAGTCCTGGTCTTGGGGTTTGCAGCCTCCGAAAAGTTCTCAGCCACGGCCACACTGACCCCCCGCGCAGCCCCGCGTGGGGCCCCTTCCCTCAGTGTGTACGTCGCCCGCCAGCCATTAAATATTAACCCAGCCGCAGTCATCAGACACCAGCCGTGCGACCCTTCTCTGAGGGTGGCAAAGAAGCTCGTTAATTAGAATGTATGGATTTTCCGTCAGTGTTCGGTTTCAGCCTGCGCTGTGGGGGAAGGCGAGTGTCGTTTGTACTAATCCATTCTTGCCCCACTTACACAGCCGCTCCGCGGGCACACTTGCCAAGCGGCACCTGTCAGATAAGGCCTCGCACTCCAGGAGCGGGCAGCGGAAGTGACCAGACGGGCTTTCCAGACCTTTCGGGCACGAGCAGAAAAGCAGCAGATGGCGACGGAGGCAGACGCCAGCAGAGCTGCGCTGCCCACAGAGGAGCAAGAGTGTCACACAGCATCACACAGCCAGGTGCACAGCAGCCACGCGCAGGTTAAAGGGCTACTGAGCAGGCCGCTCTAGAGCTGTCACAGTCTGCACAGACCACTCCATTTCCTCTTCGGCAAAAACCACATCTGTTTGCTGTTACATGCTCGGCTTGTAAAGTCAAAAGAATAAAAGCGTTCCAAGCCTAGAAGTTTGCAGCCTTGTCCAGCGCAGGAGTGCTCTTCTCCCCGAGAGACGCCAGCCCCAGGAAACTAACCCCCTGAGACAGAAGAGTGGGCACAGACCTTGGCCCCAGCCAAGACAATGTAAAAACACTCATCTTTGCAGAATTACTAGCAAACTCCTAATTCAACAGGTTGTTGATTTTGATATGGTACGCCCACTGAGAACAAATGCTCTTTTACAATAACGACTGGGATGCCCACTGAAACAGCAGAGTGTGAGTGAAGCACTGTGGTCAAGGGTATGACCTTTGCCCCAGCTGAGGTTTCAAGGCCAACCTCAAGTCCAGGCCCTATGACCCCCTCTACAGCGCTGAGGCAGGTCACTGAGGCTCTAGGTGTTGAAGTGTCTTCTTCTGCCGTATAAACAGGTAACCGAGTACAGCAGCACTTGTGATCACACAGCCACAAATCAACTGGTGCACAACACACGAAACAGTAATTATTTAAAAGGACAATGGGCTATAAAGGCAAACTGTCCCATATAATGCTAACAGCACTTGAATATTATACGAGTTTCGTAATGACTAATTAATCCCTCATTCTCATAATTTATGCATGACGTTGGGCACTAATTCTTTACCATGTTCCAAACAGTTTTGACAGCTGGGTGACGTTTCCATTCTCCCTTACAAGCTTCATTCTATGACCCCAAGTATTATTCCTGCCAAATTAAAATAAGCACTGCCCCCTAAACACCCTGGAATTGTCTTTGTTCTTGGACCGTTGTGATGCTTTGTGGAATAAACATTCACCCTCTGCAGGAGCATCTGCATCAGACCCTGCATTGCATGCAGGACCAGCCTAACGATGACAGGGTTATATTCTCCTTGTGTCCGAGGTACAGAATCAAGTTAGACGGGACGTGGAGACAATAATAATGATATCAGTGGCAAGAACGTCCTGAAAGGTCAAAGCCCGCGAGCCTGGGTGGTGTGTTACCAGACCCCTGCAGAGGAAGAGTGAGTGGATATTGATCTTCACTCGCAAGGCTGACTTTTAACTTCTCATCTCTGACAAGTGAGTCCTTGAGCATCCGTGTGAGAAAAAGGCTCTGGCCGCAGTGGCTGGGAGCAGGAGTCTCGGGTTTCCGATCACAGCGACCTGTTCCCGATCCCGGGAGCACGGTGGCGCTGTGGTTAGCAAGGCTGTCGCAGCTCTGGGGCCCTGGGGTGCTGTCTGCGTGGAGTCTGCATGTTCTCCCCGTGATCATGCGTTTCATCCAGGTGCTCCAGAGTCCAAAAACACACTAGTAGGTTAACTGGATTCTGCAAAAACCGGTCCTGGTGTGACTGTGTGTCCATGTGTCCTGTGATGAACTGATGCCCCATCCAGGGTGTATCCTGCCTTGCGTCTGTTGCTTGCTGGGATAGGTGGGTCAGATCCAGACCCTGGGTGGATGCCCCGATCCCTGCCAGCAGGAAGTGTGGTCATAATCCGCACTGTGAAGAGTCCTCCCTGCTCTCCGCTCTGACGGGCAACAAGCAACTCAATGCAATTGCATCTAAGATGCAATTCTTAGACAGCGCCCATGTTAAAGTGTACCAGGAATACCACGATCAAACCAACGAGAGCTATAATTTTTCTTGTTAAAAAATTACAATTTACGGATTATACTTGACATAAAGGCACCCGATTTGGATCTGCCAGTTTGTGCGAGCTTCACTTCTCCACCTGCAGCTACAAACCCTGTAACCTCACACGGGAAGACTGGTGATGTGCCGAAAGGCTCCAATTCACTCGACCTTCAGGAGTGAGTGCTGGTTATCAGGATGGCAAACAGGAAACTGCTTCTGTGCACTAAGAGCCAGGAAGGGTTTGAACTCCATGAGCCAGGCAGAAGCCAGGGGTGCGTGGGGTTTTGGTTACCATCTCATCCCGTCACTGGAGAGCCCTCATGTTCTTACCTGCTGTGCCTCGGTTTGTGTTCCACATCATACCGATGTTCTGGCCCAGGTTCTGAGACAGCGTGATGGACATGGGACCCACATTGCCATACTGTTCAGAGGAGACACAGAGCAGATCAGGTACATTACTGGGCTCAAAGGAATATGCTCCTCAAAGAACTGGACCTTCTGCATCTTCAACAATAGTTCTTCAAAAGTTGTAAGGGGATCTGACTCAAGCAAGACTCTCAAAGACACTGACACAGTCAACCCAGTGAGACCCAAACATGAACCAGAGGAGACAAGGGGAAAACAAAGAGAAATTAATTTAAAATGAAGAACAAGAGACATCTTTACACACATTCCTGGTACCAAAGCCAATACCCTTCTTTCAAGAAACAGCTAACCTCGGTTAACCTTCAGAGACCAAAACAGGCTAAACTGAATGGCCTCCTCTCTTTGTACACTTTCTTCTGCTGTTATCTTTAACTCAGTCGCATGTAACCCCAGCACAGGGCTATAGCTCTGCCACCTCTGCACTGCTGTTTGGCCCAGTGTGTGGTATAATCTGGACCAACCTGCACTCTCTTTCCAGGTGTGTCGGTAGACCCAGTTGACTCTCACCTCGTTCACCCCACCCCCCCGGGTCAGAGAGCAGATCCCCCCGATGTAGGCCGCCCCACTGCGGCTGCTGCGGAATGTGCGCCCCCTGTTGGACAGGGAAAGAATAACATCAACAGCAATAACAAACAGAACAGAGGGAACTTCACTGAACCTACAAAACTAAAGCCGAGCTAAAGGGTAACATTTACACAGGGGGGGAACTGAACTGGCATTTAGCCTCAGAATTGGCTGTTTGATTTAACAGAGCATGCTGGCTTTCACTGTGATCCATGTCCTCAGGTAGGTTTGTCTTGGTTAACTGAGGTGGCTATAAATCACGAGGGAGGGGTGGTACCAATTGAAAAAATAAACTCTATATGTGTGCTGTCCTGCCTTGCACACTGATGTGCTTCAAATGACTGTAGCCAGTAATACCTGGGTGGTACCTGCCAGTAATACCACCCAGGATACCCCTGCATTTAATACATCTCTGGGCTGCTAGGTTGCCTCTAATATCTCACACACTCCTGTGCTACCCCCCCGGCTGTCTGCAATACCCACGAGAAGAGGTGGACTGCATCACTGTGCTCTTTCACATTCTCCCTCCTGTACTTCATGAAGTCCCGCAGGGTCACCAGGGGGTCGTCGTCGATGGAGATCATATTCTGCGACGTCCACGTCTCCATGGCGACCAGCACGATCCTGGTGTTCAGCTGTTCCTTATAGATCTATCCAGAAATAAATTAAAGATGAGCACACCTACTGAACACTTGCACCTCAACCCACATCAGGTCAGCCCCGACCACGCGGTGCTTAGCTCAGGGCCCGATCGGAGGCCAGCGCGCAACAGGCAGTCCAGTCACATGTGGCGTGCAGCTCTGTCACACACAGCCCCCACTGTTCAGCTGTTAGACTGCAGACACCCTCACTGGGCGACCAGGAGCAAACCGCCCAGCTACTCTGCCCAAGCTGATGCCCCGAGACGCTGCCGCAGAAGGAGCTCCTCCGTAGCCCATCTCACCTGCTGCCTTGTGATCAAGTAAAGCACTCCTCAGGGCAGCGGTGTTATCTTTTGCCTGTACTCATGTGCTGGACAAACAAATCACTGGTTTTTAAAAAAGTATTTGGAGTTAAACGGAAGGATTGCTACAGGTGCACTGGCAGGTTTCAAGATCAATCCTAAAAGCCAGATTTCTTTACCTGTCCACTTCGTCCCTCAGTGAGAAGACTAGGGGTCTAGGGGCCACAGGTGTGGAGAGAACGTGTCCATTAACATCACTGTCAGCCCTCAGTGTGACCTGGGACAGGAGTCCAGAGCCCTAACCTCCACACTGCCAACCCTTGCACATTGCGCACAGCAGCACAGAGCTTTGGAAGAGCTCTGTCTCGGAGAATAGAATAAAAGCCCGAGCCGGCAGGCTCCTCACCGCGTCGGCCATGTTGACCACAGCTTTGGCAAAGTTCCTGGTCTGGGAGGCAGAACTCCGGATCTGTGTAAACTGTAGCGATAAAGGAGATAAAAAAGATAAAAAGAGATCAAAATCACCCGCCCGCCCCCCCCCAACACTTCACACCATTCTTTCCCTTCTGTGTTTAAATGTTAGAATAATGTCCCACAAAATCCCATTTGCTGCTCCTCCGTTAACTGCTTTGGCAATCTGTGGGCCCCCAGCTCCAGCAGGAGAGCTGGGGCTGGGGGGGGAGGACAGATGCAGGTCTTGTCGGTAATGTCTTCACACACGCGCACTGCGCACAACACAGGGGTCTCCGACATGCACCAAGGGAAGCACACTGGGAATCTATCCAGCCTGGTGGATTCAGCCGTATCAGCCAAAGGCACAGCCCAGGCTGGACACAGTGCTCTCTGGCCCTCAGGGTCAAGCCCGTGGTCTGAATGGGCACCTTGACAGGCAGAGCTCTCTGGAGCGTCAGGTCTAAAACTCCTCTCCCTGTCACCGAGCAGAGGGCCGGCTCACGACCCTGCCTATCGGAACCGCAATGAAAACACCACGAGCACTATTCTCACACACTCACCAAGTGATTGTCATTCACCACCATCAGCTCGATGTACTTGGTCTCGCTCTGTATGGTGTAATGCACACGGTGCACCTGCAGGGGGCAGCAGAGAAACAGATTCGGCTTCAGGTCCCAAACCTATTCACTACCACACAGAGCTTAAGACACCAGCACTCCCCTTTCTGGTTTGTGCTAAAGGCTTTCTTATAACTACACCCCTCCCTGATAAAAATGAACACTTGTGTCACAGTTCCTGCTCTGTATTTATAGAACTTCTCGTGACTCTTTTCCAAAACACAGGAAGATCTGGGTCAAATTTTGAAAGATTCCTAAAAGATATCGACAGTGTCAGCGCAATGGAATGATTTAAACACTGTAAAGAGACAAGGACTCAAGTGAAAATCAAGAGGAAGTACTGTACTTCAGGACTGAAAATGGGAAGCAATTGTTTTTTAGAAATGTTACAGGATCTGGAAAAGCTCTCTGCTAATGAGTCACTAATTTTGAGGACTTCACTCAGAAATGCTTTTGATTCATTAGTAGAAATAGGGGTTGAACAGAAATTGTACTCATTTAATATGAAATGGGGTAGTGTTGAATGTTAATCTGGTCTCCCCAGGCAGACACCAGAGTGGGAGTGACTCTGTACTCTTCCCACAGGTGGACAGCAGCCCTGACCTGTCTCTTGGATCTCCTCAGGGTCCTGCTGGGGGTCAGCTGCTCAGGCCGAGACATCTCACTGCTGGAGCTGACAGAGCAGCCTGGGTGACAGAGAGAGAGAGCTCAGTACAGATCGGCCAGCACTGCACACAGTCACCCATATTGAGTCAAAGAGGAAGTGATTCCATCTAGGCAGGGCAGCGAGAAATTCAAGACCAACACCCTTAACAAAGCACTCCAGAACAATCAAGCAAACTGCACTGCGGCAGTTTACAGATCTCACACTACACTGCCAGCACCTTTGAAATATAGCCAATACTGTCTATTTGCAACAGAACACCTGCGTTATCCATCAATCCCACCCACATTCACTTATGATGACTCCTTCACAACTACCACCCTTTGGTGTAGAGGGGACCTTTGTAAGCACCACTGGTGCCAAACTCAAGCACACTTCCATTCTGTGCCCTTCTCTGGTCTGACCAGTCATCTCTGTTATAGGTCTGGTTATTTCCAGACAATGCCTCCTAGTCCTGTGGGATTCCTGCCCCCTCCTGCAGGAGCTCAAAGTGAGGTGTGTAACTACCTCTACGCCAAGCACACCTGAGGAAGGCGACGGCTGTATGGAGCAGCAGGGGCTCCTGCACTGTACTCACCAGGGCACGGCATGGGCAGCTCCTCGCCAGGCATCCTGTACACCACATGGGCATCCGAACCCTGGGCCAGGGAGACAAGAGAGGGCGTCATGTCGCTGCAGTCAGAACCGCGCCGCTCGGCTGGAGCACATGGCTGATCCAGGGTCCCACCAGCAGGGCGGCGGAATGGCGGAGGTGTTTGTACCGCAGCACTCACTCCTGTTGCCCCAAATCTCCCTTCCTGCCCCCTTACTCTCCCCCTGCCCACACTCGCTCTGTAAGTCCAGCCCGTGCAGAGCTCGCAGGGGGGGGTCTGTATCTGGGAAACAGGACCCTGATGTGTGCTGAATCTTCGCCAGCCCAAACCCTTCAGCACATGAACCAGCACTCCCGGGGTGTGTGAAGGACTGGGTACAAGTCTGACATGGGGAGACCAGGCCAGGGGAGAGGGCTTGCTGAACACAGGGCTGTATCAGACACCCGGGCAGGGAAGGACAAGTGGGGAGTGTTGCGGAGGGCTTTCGAGAAGACAGCAGAAAAGCGAGGCCCTGGGAGGGAAGGTGCGTTATGGGAGACGTTATGGCCGCAGAGGCAGACAGAGGGATTGAATAGCAGCCTAGTATTACATCAGAAACCCCGAGTGTGAGAGATTTCATATCGCAGGAGAGCGAAGGCGAGAGTGGATGGGTCACTCTGGGTGTCAGGTTACACAAACCATTTATCGCTGGTATCTGATATACGCAGGTGCAGTCATAAATACTGGAGTCCTTCACCTCCAGCAACATTCACTAATTCATTAAGGGTAACAAATATTGTTTGTTAAACCATATTTGTTTCTGATCTCTTTCCTGTGTTATCTGAGCAACCCTGCAAGTAACTGTAATTATGTCATAGAGAATGAGCTCATTTAATCCAAAAGGCATGAACAGAGTAGTCATTTGTACTTCTTTTTTAAAGTGAATGCACTTCTTGGAAGTTTTCTTTTTCCATCTTATATATTAGGTAATTTGCTAAGAAATTTTAACTTCCCTGTGCTGGGATCAATAAATGCTCCAAACATTTAGAGATGTTGTCAAATCAATATAGGTCTAACAAACAATATTTCCTTATATGTATTCCATCCTTTTATTTTATAACCACTTCACCCAGTACTGGGTCATGGGGGAGCGAGAGCCCATCCAAGCACTGTGCACAAGAACACCAGTCCATCACAGGACACACACAGACACACTCACATCAAGGCCAGTTTTCCCAGAAGTCAATTTTTGGAATGTGGGAGGAAACCGGAGCACCTGGAGGAAACCCCCTTGAACACAGTGACAACATGCACACTCCACACTGACAGCACCCCATGTGTGGAGTTGAACCCAGGGCCCCAGCGCTGGGAGGCAGCACCACTTTGCCCTAATTTGCTAAATAACATTCCCGGACCGAGCGGGTTCTGAGAGTTGTGTCCAGATCTGGGTTTTTCTCCAACAATCTATCAGCAGTTTGGTCCTGCAGTTCTCAGAAAGGAATCTTGCTCATTTCCCTGGAATGTATCTAAATATTCAGAACTGTAAAGCCGGGATCCAAGTTTCACGGCCCCTGCACATCTGTAGAGATATTTGAATTTACGGTAGTGTTAGCTCCTTTTCCTGTCGAAATCTAGCAGTGAGTTTAAATGATCATTAGCCAGTCCTTGTGGAGAGCGTCCAGGGTCTGAGGCACAGTGCGGCTCAAGACTTTTATGGAATGAAAGTCTGCTCAAAGGCAGTGTATAACAGCCTGGACAAGGACACTCTCATTATGACACACCCTCAAACACAATCCAACGGATACCACATCTCTATTCGTTAGTAAAAACTGCACTCTTAACAGAGCAAGAACTGACAAAGAATTTACATTTCTCAACACAACCTCACATACATAGATTGTATAGTACATACTGTACATACACTGTTTTTCAGCAAGAACGCAGGCCACTGTGGTAATAAGAAGAATGTGAATGAATGCCAACCTTTTCGTATAAAAAATGTTTTTGCAATTCAAGAAAAAACAATCCGTAAAAATCAATACTTCTTATGCTGTATTTTGTAAAACAAAGACAGACGCACATCCCTTCAGATCTAAGACCCAGTGACGTGATATACAGCTGCAGCAGCCAGGAGGTCTGATCATGGTCAGGAAGGCAAGAGACCTTCAGACACAGCTCACACTATTACATCACTCCAGGCCACATGGAACTAGAATTCACTCTGCACACGAACACATAGCCACGTTAGTATCACAATTGCTTTCCTGATGGTGATTATCTCTGCGAGTCTATGCTCTATCCCAGAGTGTTTCTAGCCTGGATTGTCACTCCAGCTCAGCCCCCTTAATTCCACACATTTATTACTTAACACCCATTTTTATTAACGGAACAAAGCTGAAGCTGGAGGAGTTGGATCGCTTCTCTGGCCGAAAGCGGTGCCTTGTGGGTGACGGGGCAGTGTGGTGCAGCCAGGCGGTCCATGTTGAACTGACCACGAGTGACCGTGAGAGCGCCGCCCACTGACCCCCGCCTCGCCTCGCCTGTGAAACTCAAGGCTGACAGCGAGACGGCCGCGTTAAACATTCATCGCGCCACTTTGCTGAAAGGCAGGAGGAACATCTGACCCCTAGTACTGGCCAGCGCACGACCACAGACAAGCAGATTGACCAGCCAAATGGCTAAACACGCACAGAGCTTTTCACAGAGACACAGCTTACCTGAATAAAAACTGTTAACCGTCATTTGCAAGGAAAAAACAAGAGTTCAATAAATAAGTGCTAGTTTATTACCATCTTCAACATACACTATTAGTGGTCTTCTTCCATCAACCCAACCAATGCAATCTGAAACACTGTATCGCACATGCAGGCCTGGCCACAGTAACAGCCAGGAAGGGAGAGAGCGAGACAGGAGGACGCATGGAGGCCATGAGGCTGTGTCTGCAGGAAGCAGGGAGAGACACACTCACCTGGCTGCTGTCTCCTGCAGCCGGCTCGATGCCATAAGAGAAGTTCCCATCGAAGAACAGGCCGCTGCAGAGAGAGAGAGAGGAACAGGCCGTTAGCTCCCTGGGCCGCCCGAAGAAGCACACAGCTCCGTCCAGCCGGGAGCGTGCCCAGAACAGCAGCAGGGCAGGGCCTGGGGAGACCAGCAGCAGGCTTCCCAAGCTGCCTCTTGTCAAAAAATCTTCCATTATTATTTGCTAAAGTACCATCATTCCCTAATTACTACTTTTATGAGACAGCAGGTAGAAGAAACATTTTTATTTGCACAAGAAAACTTTTTGCAATCTCAAACTCAATGTATGTATTTTTTTGCTGTTAACCACATGTGTAGCTACTACAACAGCCTAACTTTCAAAAACTCTGTAATATCAGGTACCAAGGTAACAAGGATGGGATCCATCATGCTCACATTGAAAAGCCTGTCTCATCTCAGAATGTCCAAGCACTGCACTGCTGGAAACCCCAGTCACAGCACTGACATGGCCTCGCTCACACAGGCACTAAAACAGTCCTTGACCATTTGCGCTAGAGGGAGGAAATCTCTGTGAGAGACGCTATGATTGAAAGGGTCTCCTGTGGCGCTCATGGCCAGATCTCTCCGGGGGGGGGCGGGGAGAGGGGAAGGCCTGACCTTTACTGCCGAGCTGGTCAGCCAAGCCTGCTTGTTCCTCACTGATTCAAGAGTCAGTGGGCTGCTTCAGGAACCATCTCAGAGAGGCAAGATCACAGCACCAGTTTTCTCAGACACTCACAGCTCTTGCCTCCTGTTCTCGGTCCCAGTAGCTCTCACACTTCACTCCCACTTGTGCTTGAAGGGCCTGTTCACTTCTGGCACGCTTGTACAGTGTCTTTGCAAATACACGAGGTGCTTTTGTGTGGCACCGTCCTTCTGGAAGGGTGGCACACAGCTCACACAGTTGAACTGGAGTGTCACGATGGTGCAGTCTGGTATGGTGGCTCAGTGTTGGAACAGGCAGGTGAAAATGGGAGGATGGTGGCTGAGTATGCGGTGATACTCACTGCAGGCCATGGCAGGTGGAAACAGCAGCATAGGAGCCCGGCACTCCCCTGATCCGCCCGTGGTAGTAACAGTGCTCCCCTCCCTGCAAGACAAACACAGACAGCTGACAAAGACACAGTACACTGACACTTGGGCACAGTACCCTGGTCCTGAACTACAGTACACTGACACTGAGATACAGCAACTACTAAAAAAAGTGACACTGTCCAGAAACTTGCTTCATAGTCATTTTTGAGACAGCAGGTTTTAGTTCTGCAGGGCGTAGATCATCACACTTGTGAAGTATCACTGCACCCTGAGGCTCTGTGCGATCTCGAAGGCTTTTTCTAAATCAGGCATGAGTGAGTTTGCAACAACCACTCCATTGACTGAAACCCAACACTGCGCGCTTCCAGAAAGCTCACACATTTCCGAACTCCCTGCCCAGTGCAGCCGTGAGGAAGGGGAGTGTTTTCATATCGGCCACTGTCTCTGGCAGGACTGGACTATGCCTTGAAACAGAATACAATGTTGCACATCAAGAGCCAAAAAATAAAGACTCCTGCATTACAGTCTTATTACTTATTGATCAAAAGATGCTGCAGCCAGATTAGTCAGGGATGCTTTACAGAAAATTGCGCCTTGTGTGCAGGAGGGTTTATCATTACAGATCCGGACAGGGTTTCATTTTAAAGAAGGTTCACTGTCCATGTGCATAAAGCTACATTACATGGGAGGAATATCACTGGCTCTGGGCCCAGTGAAGCAATGAATATGTTTATGTGTTTGGGTGCTAGCTGAGCTCTCACAACATGCTTACGTAGCTCCTGGATTTATAATTTAAATGCTATAAACTGCAAACAGTCTGTCACACCCATGTGTATAAGCTGGTGGAATCCTCCAGACAAGCATGAGACCGAAGGCTAAAGCACTGATTCCCAGAAACTCTCAATTTCTTCTCTCAATGAATGGGTCTGCTCCCTCAACAAACTGAAGACATCACTGTGTCTAACCCCAGTGACTCCTGCAGGTGAAGACCTCTCATGACACAAAGCACCTAAAATCTTCCTTGAGGTTCCTCTGTTCAGACTCAGATAAAGAAGCCACATTAACAGAGGAGTCTACAAGAGGAAGATACAAGTATTTAAGATCCTGAAAGGTTATAATAAGATCAGTCAGGGGAAACTCCATCATGGCCTACTGGGAAGAACCCAGTGCAAAAATGGGTACCCCAAGAAGTGATTACAGGGGACACATGCTGCTCAGTCACATATTTAAGCAAAGCCTGGCTGGACCAGGGGTCACGGGCCTCTAACAAAAAGCAGGTGGTGTGGTTGCTGCAGATTTCCCAAGCCTCTGCATCAGACACTGTGCTGTTAGGAGAGCTGTGAAACTGAGGTCATTAAAGATCTCACAGCACTGACTGTAGGAGCAGGGGTGTTCACCAGTATGGGCAGGTACAGTCTGGCCTCTCTAAAGTCCACTCCTCCCCTGATCTGTGAGGTGTGTCACCCAGGTGGGGCTGCTCTTCAGTGCTAGATGAAGCGCAGGACACATGCGGGCAAGTCTTGTTAATTATGCTTCTGTAGTTACCACACTAGGAAGATGAGTCGAATGATGAGCAGCAGCTGAGGGCTTTAAAGGAGCTCTGGTCAACATGTTTCTTTTTATTAATTATACACACATGCTTTAATGAAGGCAATGTAATAAATCCGAATCTAAAGCAAAAGTTTAAAAATGATCCCTGAAGAGCGTGGTTTAAGGAGAGAAGGTCATGATTAGTGCAATTATGCAATTAAAAGCCCAGTTGCTATGGCAACCTGTAGACAGTCAGCTTGAAAGGGTGCAGAATACACTTAGGAGTTAGATGAATATGCTTTGTGATTGAAATCAAACATGACTGGAATTAACTGCCTAAACAACACACAAAGGCAGCCGTGCTGAACATTTAAATGTGACTTTGTTCTTACTTCAGTATGACAATAACATATCCAAGCCATATGAGAAAGACTTACAGTGGCGCCACTCAGCGCTGATACTGCAGGATTCCAGTCCAGACCAGTGGGCAGAGCCACAGCCACTCACTGGGGCAGAGCTCACCCTGCAAGGACTGTTTAAGATGATAACAAATCTGATTTGGTGTTTTGTTACCTTAACAGCCTACAAAAGGATTCAAAGCTCTTTTAGTTCAAGCTTTCCCAACCCCAAGAGCCAGGACCTCCACAAATCCTCCTGTCTACTCCAGCTGAGCTCTGAGCTACACAGACCAGGACCAGGGATGCCAACTCCTAACTTAGAGGACGTCTTTTTCAACATCACTTAGAAGATTAACAACAGAAAAGAAGTATCTTTCCAGTGCAAATTTAAATTAAATATGAAATATATATATTACAGAGGAAGAACTCCCTGAATGATTGTTGTGGTCTTAATGTTAACAATCAGACTACTGTTAAAACCCATCCATTCAGGGTTGTGGGGGAGCTGGAGCCTGTCTCAGCAAGCAACGGGCACAAGGCAGGATACACACACTCATTCACACCAGGGCCAATTTTTCCAGAAGCCAATTAACCTGCCAGCATGTCTTTGGACTGCAGGAGGAAACCGACGCAAACATAGGGAGAACATGCAAACTCCACACAGACAGCAACACAGGCCCGGAACAGAACACTGCTAACCACTGTGCTGCTCTACTGATAAAACGTGCTGGATAAATAATTTTGCATATTACATGTGATTAGTAAAATATACTGTAGATGTGCCAACAGAAAAGTTGAAGGCTGATCAGATCCTCAGTCTCTAGTTTTCCTCATCCGCCAAACTTCCTCCTGCAAGCACATCAGTAAGTGTTGGTACAATGAAACTAAATTCCATCCATTGGTTTAAGCTAAGCTATCCAAAATATCACTTTTTAATAAAATGCAACTTCATGTGTATTTTGATAGAGAGCTCTTTTCAGTGCCAAGAGCAGCCATGCAGCTCCAGCAGGTTCTTCCCAGCGAAGGCAGGAAAGCAAACATATGTCCTCCCTGCCAAGAGGCGGTTTGTTTCCCCATCAGCCCCTCAGTACGAAGCCGCACGAATGAAAACAGCTCAACTGCAGCGCAAGCAGGGTGCAGTCGCCATGGCAACGGGGCAGGACAGTGAAATGCTGCACAGTTAAAATGTTCACAGAGTTGAAAACAAATTTGATGGCAGTCGGCTATTCTGAGTCCAGGGGCAGTCCCTCCATTTTGCTGCTTTGTTCTCTCGTAAAAGAGTCCCAGGTGAAGGAATCAGATTAATCCTCAGATGCTGCTCTGATCAGATAGCCCCTCTTCAAGGCTAATGCAATGACTGTCTGCTTAATGTGTTCAGCCAGGACCTCAGCCATCTCCTCACACTCTCACAGTGAGCTGGGGCTGCTGGCAAGCTTCAAACGTGGGGTTCCCCCATAAAAACAGAGCTCTGCCCGATTAAAACCAAGACCCCGCCCACCACCACCTGGATGTGGTGTAGAACTGAAGTGGTCCAGGAGAAGCCGGGCAGCAGCTACTGAACGCTGAAGATTTCTCCAGTTTCAGCTCGGTGTTGTGTCTCCAGATGGCTCATTTTGTGGTGCATCTTCCTCATTCATTCAGTTAAGTCCTGAGGTGATAGTGGCTGTTACAAATTTGCTCATTAAAAAAATCCTGGGTTAGGGTGTTCAGAGAAGTTCCTTGCTCTCCACTCACACACTTACAGGCTAAGAAATAAAAAATCTGAAAATCGATCATCCTCCTGTCTCTTTCCCTCTTGCAGGACAGCCAGTAACTCCCACCAGCAGCTACAGAACACACGGCCGTCACCAGCCACACGGAGGTGACAGGCTGCGAGATCCCCTTGGTGCCAAACATGACTTCACCATCCTCGCTGTCCACCCCTCCCCCCCGTGCTGGAACCCGTTGCCTTTAACAGGCACCTCTCTCGTTAAGTGGTAAAGCTTCTTCTACAGCAGGGCTGGACACCAGCTGGCCCTTCTGAATTAGCAACTGATTAAGGCCTTGAAAACAGATTGTTTCAGCTCAATTAAGCAATAAAAAAGCCACCCTTTGTTCCACAGTGCTCCCAGTCTGGAGTTGTCATCTTCACGGCCTCACTGCTACAGACCGTGACGGAGCCGAGAGGCGTCTGCCCTCCTGCAGTGCTGCTGTGTCTTCTCCGCCAGCGTACAGCACGAGTCCTTCCCTTCTTCACTGTTGCTCCTTGCACCTCTTCACAGCACAGCACCGACCGGCAGGAAGCACAGGGATAGACTCCTGTCCATTAGCAGAGCACACAGGTACAATTCAGACTTACCCACACCCCAGGGCAGGCACCCGGTCTCTGCAAGGTGAGAGGAACCCGGAGCACCCAGAGAAAACCCATGGATGACATGCAAACTCCACACAGAGGTGCTCCAGTCTGGTGTAAGGAAGGAAGGAGTCACAGCGCAGCCCAGTGAAGGGTTGCGAGGAGTGTAACTGTAATGAACGTGGCCACAGAGAACATTGAAGGAGACACACACAATGTGGAATCCCACAGTTCTGCAACACTGTCACAGAGGGATGACTGACACCTGTATAGCGCCTTTATTCACAGCAAAGATCTCTCAGCCCTGCACTGGACAGCCCTAGCTGATTAAACACTGAACACTGCTTCCTGAAGACACTGCACACCAGCATTAAAAGGGACAAAAGACACCTTCAAGTGCCATCAAACAGCTCACTGGTTGAAGCACAATAAAGCATAGTAAATCCCAGTGTTTGACAGGAAACCATGGGAAAAACTGGAAAACAGAAATATAGTCTAAAGGGCACTAAAGGAGCAGGATGTTTATTGTGGGAAAGGAGCTTTGAATGAATCATGAATTGGCTTTGCCTCCTGACTCTCTGATGAGCTGTGTGGGCAGACGAGTGTGATGGGCCATAGGTGAGCTGTGAGGGACAGAGTGCACAGTACGTGTGTCAGTGTGTGTGTGTGTGTGAGACAATGCACGTGTGTGAGCGTGTGTGTTTTAGAGCAAACGTGTGTGTGAGAGAGTCTACAAGTGTGAAACTGCGCATCACATTTTTTAACATTAAATGAGAAAGTCCAGTTTAACACTGTAAATCTGTAAAACAAAGAAGCAGTTTTTGATGAAAAGCACTGATAGCTTATGCAGTCGTTGCATGAAGGAAAGTGAACGCAGAGCACAAAATCAGCGAGCCAGCTGCCCAGCAGCCGAAACCGATGCAGTGGGGCCCCCACCCCCCGAGAGTGCCCGCTGACGGAGCCGCCGCTCGTGCGCGAGAGAGACGGAGCCCAGGAGACTGCAGATATTACATAACCGCACCGCGAGGCCTGTCGCTCTGCGCTGCGCTGCAGTGGGGGTTAGGGAGCGTCTGCAAACTCCCAGCACTGTTCAAGTCCCTGCTGCGACCCCACCTCACACTGCCCCGCCCCCCAGGCAGGACCCTCACAGAGACGTCTGCAAAGCCTGTGTCCAGGCCACAGGCAAGATCAAGTCAGGAGTCTCCTACTGTCATTCAGATACAGTAGGTCATTTCACCTTGACATTCCAGGATTTTCTCTGAAATAATCATAAAAATCCATATCAGATAAAAAGTCGTATATACATGTAATTTTGCGAGCTCTAGTCTATACACACCTCAGGATTATGTGGTCTCTCCCAATTCAGTGGATCAGCCTGAGCTGATATGGGTCACAGCAATCAGTGGGGTGAAGAGGAAAGCTCCCTGCTGTCTGCAGGCCTGCCTGCACACATCTCACTGCCTTTGAAAGACTGGGCCTGTTATACTGCATCAGCACATGAGGCCTGACCAATCTCGTGCATACACAGAACCAAGAAAGCAGAGCAGGACTGCGACGCTGCCCTGGTTCTCTGCCGTCTGCCAGGGTTCGAGTGTGGGTCTGAGCACCCTGAAACCCTCACAGATCCACTGCCCTTACGTGCTTTCCTCTCTACGCCAGCCTGCGTTCCGATTCCGCACTCTCCTCGCTGAGCGACAGGACTGGGCCAGCGTGGGTGGGGATCCAGGTTTCCCCGTTGCCATGGGAGCCGTCAGCTGATTGGCTGGAGCTGGGTGGGCACTGGAGTGGAGGGGGGCAACTCTGAACAGTGCTTCTCAGACAAATCACAGCTGACTGGAGGCAGTTGCTGCTTAGAGATTGTGGACTTTTAATTTCTTTAAATAAAACCAGCAAGTTAGATTTCAAAGGCCCATCTGCACTGTAGATGTCTTTTCTGAAGTTTTTCATTGCCTTGCTGTGCACAGTGCCATCCGGTGGCTGAGGAAGTGAATACAACGGGTTTGCTTTTGTTCTGCAGCACTTCTCTAAACCTGTAAAGTGAGCAGCACATCCACAAAATGAAGGGCTCTTCTCCTAACTGTGCCAAACCGCTGCATTAGGTGGGGAACAAGGTGCCAAGCTAAGCAGAATCAGATCACCTCAGGTGAGCTCTGGCCATGTACAGGTGCGCGCCGCAGCGTGGCATCGTGAAGTGAGGCGGTGCAGGATTATCTCGCAGCATGGCCACGGAGCTTTCCCGTACAACCCAGAACAATGCTTTCATGATTCGGTCATTTGAAATATTGATGCAAAGCAGCCCCCTTCCTCTGGAAGAGGTCTGTCGACAGCAGCCTTGGGACGAAGCTGCTGAGTGCGGAGCCGTAAATAACTCATGAGGTTAATAGCGAGAGGCTCTGAAAGGGCCTTTGTGCCGAGCTCCAGCAGTGTGAGGGGCCGGGGGTGGGACAGCAGCCGAGCTGCCTGCATCTGACCCAGAGCTGCTGATGACTGAGGGCTACAGGCACAGGGAGATCGCGGTCCACTGGAGCAATGTATGTAGGAAAGTAAATTGATCGCACTTTAATGGCAAAAAGACCATGTGTATTTCAACAATGTCGGGTTTGTTCTTTCCAGCCAATCGAGGAGCATCTAGCAGGAGGAACTATTCCAAACCATGTGACCTCGGGAGGCTTAAAGGACAGGGAACCATCGATGAAGGCATGAAGGTTTGTAGCAAAGCATAAATGTAGACTGGAAGTTCTTCATGACGGCTTCCCAACTTAACATTGTTACAGAATGTGGGGAAACTGATTTTGGACCAAGAGTTTCAAAAAGCCTTCACCAACTTTAGCCCTGTCTGCTCAAGCCTGTAGTTCGGCTGCCCTGACCCAGCGAGGAAACTGCACTTCCAGCAGAAGGAAGCTCGGCTGTGGCTCAGAGATGATCCGCGGGGCGTGGCAGGCACAGGCCAGCCTTTCGTCAGGCAGAGCTGAATCCCTTGAGCACCTGCTCTCCAGGTGAAGGACAATGAGGGAACAAAGAGCTTTGAAAGTTGAAAGCGGGCTAGAAGCACCAAAGATGGAGTCAGGCTTCATTTTTTGCTGACATTAGTAGAAGCTGGAAGCTTATCCAGTGCTGCAAGTGTACATAGTAACAAAGCAATAAGGAAGGACCAGCTGTGAGGCCAGTTCTTCTGCACTGGAACAGGTAAGATTAAAAGATCCCGGCCTCCCAGACTGTCACAGCGTGTAGGGTCCTTTCCAGGCTTTACCAGGGTACCACGCTGTTACACTGCCCTCCTGCAGTTGAACAGTTTGCTTCCAGGTTTGCCCCACGTGTCTTTAATAACAGGAGAGATCCGGGTGACTCTCAACAGTGAGCCCTAAGCTCGGAGTCGAATCTTTTCCGTGCCCTTAGTGGGTAGTAAACCTCACCGGAGGTTGAGAAGATCCTGTACCATTTCCCTCTGTGTCCCTTTAAAAGCCATCTTCCAAACACCGAGAAAGCAAATGCTTTGTTTCTGGGGGATGTGCACTCACATCTCCAAGTCTTTCTTCTAGAAGCATCCAAAGCTGGGGATGTCTGCCCATCAGCAGGAAAAGCTCTGAACTTCATCTAAACTCCGGTCTGTCAGGGTAAATCCCTGGAAACTGTTCACACATCCAGCCTCTCTCACTCCAGACAGTACACTCTCTTCCTGCAGGCTGGCAGAGGGACAGTCATAAAGAACACTCCGCCTGCTCTGAAAGTGTCCCACGGGCAGCTCTTTCAGCCCAAGCATTTACATTTTGGCTCTATGTCCCATACAGCTGAGAACCACCAATTCATGACATGCTGAAAGCGCCGAGCCACGGCCCTCTGGGAAGCACCAGACACCACGACAGAAAACAAACCCCACCCAGTGTTCAACAACCAGCCAGTCTCCCACAGTGGCCTGCGTGACCCAGGAGACCCATCACATGCGGTGTCGGTATTCCAGTCAGATCCAACACAATCACAGAGCACAAACCAGCTTAACCAACCCTGAGCCTGGAGAGCCCCCATCCTCCCAGTGTCACAGGCAACCTCAGGAGCCCTTTACATGAAGGGCTGTGGGAGTCTGTAACAAACAGCCCATCCAAGCTGATCATACTCAGGAAAAAAGCTGGACAAGATTCTTGGATCGAGTGGCTACTAACAACCAAGTAAAGGCAATTAAATTACAAGCGGAATCTTGACCAAATAAACTGGTGAGACCTTTGTGATTTCAACTACAATGGAAATCAGACCCTGGAGGGAGAGAGACTAATCTAATTATTCAGAGTTTCAGAGAGGGTTAATCAACAGGGCCTGAATTTCTTACCGTTGTCTGCGTTGGTCTCCCATCCTTGTCGAATTGTCTTTCCACGTACTTAGATGACAGGAGATTACTGCACAGAGAAACAAAAACAAAACAGATCTGAAGACTCGTGCATACAGTTTACAAACCGCAATGCAGCAGGAGAATGTGAACAGAGCTAGACTGCCAATCAATAAAAATAAAAAAGAAAATATTTCACTTAAATGCTAACTTCCGCTTAAAGCTTAAGGAGCAAGTGTCTGTAACAGGGTGCACAGTCTGTTGTGACGTTACTCCCATGATCCCCTGAGGCAGCAGCTGACTGGAGTAGTGGGCTTGAAGCTTGTTTTGGGCTCATGTCCTAGGAGGTGTACAGTAAGAAAACCCTTTTGATACAGAACCAACTAGTCAATGGCTTTCAGCACAAACTCTGAACACTACTTCAGCTCGAGCATTAAAATTTAAAGCAACATCCTGCACTTACATAGAGCCTTTTATTTCAGTCAATAAAGCCCCGGGATGAATCTCTGATCGAACAGGTCAGCTCCTGCCCTGGTGAAACTGGGCGAGGAGGAGGTTGCGGAAATGCAGAATTTCATTTCAATACCAATCATGGCCTCCTAACAATCCCCGTCTCTGAACTGGCTTCATCGCTCTGCTCTCCTCCCCACTGAGAGCTGCTGTGTGCTGAGCAGATTGGCGCATCATCCAGGTGGGGCTGCACACTGGTGAGGGTGGAGAGGAGCCCCATTAGCTGTAAAGTGCCTTGAGTGGAGTGTCCAGAAAGCGCTCTATACAGTAGGTGTAAGGATTATTATTAGAACTGGCTAGCAGCATGCTCACATACAGCCTGCTCCACTAAACGGACAGCGCACGGTATGAATGTGAATGCAAGGAGAATTTCTTCACTATCCCGAGGGGAGGCTCTGATCTCTCCAGCGTGCTAATGCTGTCAGAGTCAGGTATCAAGCCCCGTTCCAGTAATCACACTATTTCCCCACTAATTCGACTGGAAAGTCTCTGCTGGGCCGCCATCGTCATTAGGAGAAGACTGAAAATGTCCAGAAGGTTCTCTTCATGTCTTCTCATTTTGTGAGGGTGTCTCCTTACCCACAGCCATCATGAGCAGCTTCTGAGCACACTGGCCCGTCTCTATTTTTTTCAAAGAAACGAGATAAATGCGTAGAGGTGATTCCAAAGCACATCTGGCTAACCTTCAAAACGCAGTGATGTCAGTGCCCACGCAGGCAGCCCAGGAAGAGCAGGAGGGCTGTCTGTCCTTCCCAGCGGACTCTCAATGCCAGCCCACATCACGTGCCTGCTCTCCACCGGCCTCTCTAATGGATCTCTCTCTAAAACATTCATGTCTTCCTCCAGACAGCTCGGCTTCAAGCTCCATTAGCCCCCCCACTCCTCCCCACCCGCAGGAAGAGCACATTTTCACTAACAGCCCGAGCGCCCGGGCTGCTGACGCGCTTGCTGACTCGGAGAGGTAGGCCGTGCACAGGGCCCAATGTCTCAGAGCCCTGATGCCCTGAAGCCCTGAATTCTGTTCTATAATTAGATGGGAAAGGAGGGTGGAAAAAAGCCACAGTAAAGGAAGCCTCCAGATGTACTTACTGGTTTAACTCCAGGTCTAGGATAAAGGATTTCCCAAAGGCCTCCACCAGGAAACTGGCCTGGGCGAGGTGGACAGGCTGGAGGAGAGACGGAGAGCGTTATTAGTAGAGGATAAAAATAAGAGCTGCTCTTTCCATCCATGGAGAAGCCAAAGGATCCAAACGCACTTCACAGATAGGAGGGGCTCTCTCTCCCCTCCACGGAAGTACAGCGCCTCCTGAAGGGCAGGCCTCTGCACAAGCAACTCAGACACTCGGCAGAAGAGAAAGACCAAACTGCTCTTTCTCCCGCGTGCCAGGAGGCATGCAGCGCACGGGTAGCTAAGAGTCCACTGTCAGAGAAACTACAGACGGAGCTCTGCCATATTGAAACAAGCAGTACTGACACAGAGTGACAACTCCAACCAAGAAACAGAGGAGGCACAAACAGACCATTATTTTAGCCTGGCCTTGTGGGCATCATGCAGGGCCCGACAGCTGCTTGTGCTGGATTTTGTTTTACACCACACAGTTCAACTTTGTATGAAAACACTGGCTGTGCCACCGAATCGGGCCTACACCCACCCAGTCTGGGTGCCGTGAGGCAGGGCAGGCAGAAACGAAAAGACCCAAACAGCCGAGTTCACGTCTTGAAGAGTGGAATCTGGTTCAAGCCCTGAGACAGTCTCGACTCTCACCCGGGACCACTCGCTGCCATGGTTACCCTTCTCACTGGGACCATAACAGCACCTAATATCTTGATGACTCCATCAAAGAGGTGACTGTATGGAATAACAATTAGCTTGGGAAGATAACTGGAGAAATGGATTTAAATAAAAATCACCATCGCTGCTTGCTGTTATTATTATCTAATGCTGATCAGGAATCACTTCATCGCCATGGAAACGGCCCCAGATGCGAGGGGATGGTGCCTGGTGGTACAGGGTGCTGTGGCAGCCCTTACATCACTGCCACACTGCTGTACTGCTGCACGGCAAACACAGCAGGCTCCGGGGTGGGCAGAAGACGAAAGGGGGTATTTGGCCACCAAAAACCTGAGGAAAAACAACTTGCAACATGTTTTCAAAAAGAGAAAGGCACTTCCCTCGTGAATATTTACTTGCAGAAAGCTTCAGGATTTCTTCACAGTTACTGTGAGGAGTTTGTAATAAGAGGAATATCCAAGGGAAACATGGGAGCTTTGCTGCCCTGCAGTGCTGGGAACCCGGGTTCAATTCCTGGGCACTGTCTGTGTGGAGCTGCCATGTTCTCCCTGTGTTTATGTGCGTTTCCTCCGATCACAGTCCAAAGACATGCTGGGAGATGAATTGGCTTCTGGGAAAACAGGCCCTGGCATGAGTATGCGTGTCTGCGTGCCCTGCGATCTACTGGCACCCCGTCCAGGGTATACCCCAGCTTCTGCTCACTGCTTTCCAGGACAGACCCCAGCTCCTTGCAGCCCTGCATGGGTTGAAGCCATTAGAAAACGGATGGATGGAATATCTAAAAGTAGTCTGGCAATACCGTAGTTTTCATTTTTTTGATAACCGGCATGCGGGACAGAAAACAGGAGGAGACGAGATGCAGCCTGATGTCTCGGCAGCAGCAGCCAGTCTTTACAACCCCCAGCCCCACTCAGCTAAAAGGGGGTGTTAGGGGGTGAGAGGGGAGGAACCCCACTCCACACAATGCAAACAAGCTGACACAAACATGACACACTGAGATCACACAAGCGTGCCCACTGGTCAAGCCTGACGCTGGACGTCGAGGGCAGCTCACTGCAATCTGGCACCGTTCCTGCAGTCTCGAGCAGATGGCCAGGCCATTGGATGCAATTAAGCCGAGTGTGCAGAATGAAGAGCACTGCAGCAATGTGCTGTTAACCCAATCAAACTGGCAGCCAGCGCTCCCTGTAACCTGCACTTCTCACATTAAAAATGCAGCAGGCATCCGCAAAAGCCTTTGAGCTCTGAATCCCTTCTGTTTCTGAAATGCGTCTGACTGGCGGGGGGTTCCCTCGTGTTTTGCTGAACTCCCTGTTCAGTAACTCATTGTCGTTCCGCAGTTTTCCCACAACATTTCAGAGTCCGTTATTTGGACACAACCCATTCTTCAGCAATGGCGTCTCAGAGTAGACTTTTTCTTTAATCTGTATCTGCTTCTGTCTGTTTTCGTCTTTGTTAAGCAGCTGCCAAGACGTCCTGCTCTTTTCAAGACAGGTTAGAATTACAGTGTATCCACACTGTCACTTCCAGAACCTCCGGAAACACCACTGAAACACGACTTCCAAATTCTAACAGCATCACACCAGGAGACAAAAAGTCACGCAGACTCCTGGCTACTGATCTCGCAAAACGTGTCCTGGCTACACTCCAGTGTCTGAAGATACAGAACAATTCCATCAATTAAACAGGCAACTTGTTAAATTAAGTAATTTGGCAAACATTTAGGAGTACAATTTAACTATGCTTCAGACTCGAAGGAGCAGTACATTCTTAATTCAACAGATTACTTGCTTAATTAATCAATATCTTAAAAGTGTTGCCAATCTTTAAAAAGAGGTGGATTGGGGGTCTCTGGGCTCTCCGTGCAAGAGGAAAGGGAAGGGATTGGGCTGCAAATATTATCGAACCTTGTGAAATAAAAGATGTTCTTTTTCCCCAATCTGTTCTCACTGCTCACCAAGCAAGTATATAGTACCAATGCAAGTACAGTATTCAATGAGGGTTCCTAATATTTTGTCCAGGCAGTGTGCAATATTAGTTGCTCTGATTATTTCGATTTATTTAATCTAGATTCCAGTGACATGTTATCAAAAAGCTACAGCTCCTGTTTCCATGTGATGGACATTTCCTTCTGGATCCCAGAAGCAGAAGAGAACCAAGTTCATCTTTCTGAAGCAGAATGTCAGTAGAAACACAGGGATCTACTAAGCTGGTCAGTATGCAAGTCACTGAGCACAGGGAAGAAGGACAGGGGCTGGGGCCCTTCTCGCTTTTGTCCCGGGCTGCGTGGGTCAGGACAAAACTATGAAAGCAGAGCCCAAGATCCAGAAGCAGCGAGGATGGACGTACGGAGATAGGGAGGAGAAGAGTCGGATGGGCAGGCAGTATTTATAGTGCAGGTAACAGGAGAGACAGAGAGGTGTGAAACTTGATCAGGAGGCACGAGGCCCTGTATGTAGCAGGACGAATTGTGTGTCATACTGGGCTCCCACTGGACCTTCAGCCAGACAGGGTATCAGGTGGGAGCAAAACCACAATAAGGGCTTGAGCTGCAGTACTGGCACAGGCAGTGGGCGGACAGATCGATGTACCTATTGTCTCTAGGAAAGTGCTGTGAAACTAGGCCCTGGCTGCGTGCCCTGTTCATGAGAAGCAACAAAGGCTATTACACATGACCTGTAAGTACAGCACATACCGGGCGCTCATGCCAGAGGCCCTGAGGCAGCTCACACTGCGCATGCTGCCTCACGCTGCCTCATATTGCTCTCAGGGTGCTGCCTCATACTGTTTTCGTGGCACTGCTTCAAGCTGCCTACTACTGACTCTCGGGGTGCTGCCCTCGGGCTGTCCACTGATGGACTGAAAGGGGGAGACTCTGCGCTACCACACCATCACGCAAGAACAGTTTGAACCCCAGATCCCCCAAACAGCTCGGTATCCATCCCTTCACGTTCCAACTGCTCCTCCCAGCCCAGGGCTCTGAATGAAATATTAAATACAAATAAGATCCTAATTAAAACGTTGAGATGGCTCTCAGAGCCCTGGATCCGACGCGGCCACTCCGGGGTCTGTCCGCACTGCAGGACCAGATCCACAGGCACCGCTGATAAACTCTTCACCCTCTAAAACTCTTCAGCCATTTAAATACAGGAGCAGCGAGATGCCAGTTCTGATTTGATGGCGCGTTAACTGAGAGTCTGATCCGCGACCAGGAGACTCGCCTATGAGACTGCTAGACATTATGGAACAAAGCAGGATTTTTCTTTTAAAAATTTAGACACACACCCGTGTGGAAAATTGCAAAACACATTCAGGAAATCAGAGGACGTAAACACACTACAATTACACTAAAATTATAAATATTAGTAATGAATATCTTTCCTTGTTGAAACGTGGCTTTCCCTGCCAGGCTGCAAGCTAGGCTTCAGCTAACAGGATGAAACGGCGTGGCGCTTGTGGTCTGAATCGAGAGACTGCAGCCTTCTGTGCTCAGGGATCTGTGGAGACGGGTTTCTGGTTTTCACTCCAGCCAGGGAGTGAACGGCTGGTCGATTCAATAATTTGCTTCATTAGTACCAATTAACCCTCATTCCAGGTCTCTACTCGTTACTCAGTCAGGTTCGCTATAAGCCCTGCTGGGCTGTGCTCCCCAGGACAGGGCTGCAGCCCCCTGCCAGACCCAGGCCAGGGCAGTGAGAGCCTCTGAGGGTCTACATCTCAAGCAGCAGCTTTCAGAACCACAGTCCTTCAGGGCGGCAAAACTTTCACTGACCGAACCAGGTAGCTTACAACCTGGGAACGGACACAGATACACATACAGCCCTCAGAAACACATCCTCCACATTCATGGCTTTTAATCTTTTTTGAGAGACTGGACACGCAAGTTTAAAACAGCCCTGGACTCATCAGCAAAGTTCCTCCCTCTAAGCCCTGAAGAACGAGTCTCAACTCAGGTGGTCACTGTACAGATGAGCCATTTACCACCGTATGAAATTTACAATGTTTCTCTTTATTACTCATTTTGTATTTTGGGGGTAAATACTGTTAATGAAAATACTTTGCTTTAAATTAATTTATTTGGCCTTACCCTGTCTCTGTGTGTCCCAACACTGATATGATAATAACAGGGCTTATCATAGCAACTTAAGAGCTGCGCTGTATTCTCACTCTGTGACTTTTTCATACGGTAAATCGTGGCAACAACCGCAGCCCTGAAGCGCTTTGAGAGGTGGACGGAGTCACCGGTACACAGGAAGCGAGGTAAACCGAGGGGAAACGGTGCCTTTCTATCCCAGAGCACTGTCATCCCAAAAACACGGAGCTGAGCTCCAACGTTTCGCTCGTGTTTAAGCGAGCCGAGGCGTGAGCGGGGGATTCCCGCAGGCTGGCTCAGCGTGGGAAAGAAATGTCAGCGCCACACTCGCGGGCCGGAGCAACCCACGCACCGGCGGCGGAAGCGGCATTTGAAAAGAAATGGGCCGGGGAGCACTTTGCGTGGGCGAACAGCAGGAGTGGCTGTTGGACAGCGGGCTGCTGCCACAACACAAGGGCAAGGCACATGCCCACCTGCGCGGGGGGGAGGGCGAGCCCGGGACCGTGTTCTGGGGAGGTGCTGTACCTGACTACAAACTGGGGTGACTGGGACTCCACGCAAAGTGTTGCGAGCAGCCAAGAGCGCGGCCCTTCCTTACCAGGCGAGACCTCTCACAGCTCAGCCCTTCCCTGTGAAAAAACACCCCCAACGAGCAGCTCCGTTGACCAAGCGGCCCCTACTATTATGGAGGATCATCACCCGCTTCCCGGCGTGGACCGGCTTGGTCTCCCGCTTCTATCTAGCGAGGCTTCACAAAAAAGACTTACAGGTGCGCCCCGGGTGTCGTTTCTAACCCTGGTGTCCAGCCGCTCGCCCTCGACTTCGCTCTCCGAAACGCTCTGCTGTATCAGCCGCTTGGGCTGGCTGGCGTGTCCCGCAGACCGGCTCCCGGCCGCCCAGTCCCGGGGCGCCGCATGCTGTGGAGCAGCGCCGCTCCAGCCTGCAGGACAGAGAGCAGACCCACACGCGCGGTCAGTCAAGGGCGACGCAGCCAGCGCAGGTCCAAGCACTGCGTGAGCAGCCCCGACAAAAAAAAAAAAGCAAGTCAACCCCAAAATGTACGATTCCCACACCAATCCAATTGCCGCTCCAGCCTTCAGTCCCAGGAGCCCCAACAACCACCGCAAATTTTAACGAGATGCGCTGCAGACAATTTCTGCCGATGCAGCAAATACCGCATCGGGTTCCCCTTACACCCAGGCACAAAATAAATATCCGGTGTAAATGACTAGGTGAGGAAAAAAAAAAGAAATCCTATCGGAATTCAGAAAGTGATTACCGAAGCAGAAAAAAAACACACGACGGCTAAAAAAGTTGCGAAGAAAAGCAACACCTTACCTGTCAGCGCCAAGCGTGAAGTCACTGCAGCAAAAACCAGGAACTGCAGAGCAATCATGTTGTCCACATAGTCCCTTCGTTTAGTATGTGGGTTGAGAAACAAAATTGAAACGAATCACGGCTTCTGCACAGCAGATAGTAATTAAATCACCAAAAAAATGAATAACATCGTTTTATTGTCCCCGTTTTTCACAGATGCTTTTTACATTCGCTGAAAAAAAAAATTGAAATAATGGAGAAATAACGCAAAGCGGATCGATGACAAAACCGGGGGAGAATGGGGGGGTGCGTGTTTGTTTTTTATTGTGGTGCTGGCGGTGCCGCACGCAGCGCGCTGCTGCTTCCTGAGACTGCGGGTCTGCCGCCGAGCCGAGCCCGTGCCGTCTGCGGGCCGGGGCACGTGGGCGCGCCAGAGCCCTCCCCCTGCGCCGCGCGGGCTGTGCGGGGCCGTGCGGGGCCGGGGTACAGCGCGCGTGTCAGCGAGCAGCCCCTCGCGTCCAAGAAATAACCCCGTCAGAGTATTTATTTTAGAGACCACCCCCACACACACACAAGCACTTTGAAGAATCGTTTTCCAGTAGGCTGTATGCTCAGCGCATTGCAAGAAGACGTGACTCCTGCGTCTGGACACAGCGACTGTCCGCCTTCAGCGCGACCCTGGGGTTACAGCCCCGCACCCTCGCCTGTGCTCTCCTCCTCTCCGCGCACAGGGGCAAAGGGAGGCGACCGCGCATAGAAAGACACCTGTCCGGGTGGGTCTAGTAGCAGATGGGAATTCAAATGGTCGAATACGGTCTCATTGTCCAAATTCGCCTTTATTACCGCGGAGCAGCGTGGAAAGCTTCTCGGCGCTGTACACAATAAAGCCTGAAACACGACCTCGTGTTTCTGTTACAGGTATCCCCGACGTCCACACCGGTAACAATGAAGAGACACGAACCAGCTGGGCGAGACTGCGGCACCCACCCTGCAGCTGGCAGTGAAAGCGTCCACACGCGGGCAAGGAAGGAGAATGGCGCCGTCACGCAGACGGCACTGAAGCCTGTGCTGTTAACAAAGACTCACAGGCGGAGCGCTGCTGCGAGTTTGTCTCCAGTGCTGAGCGGGTCTGGGGCAGCAGTACGGAATAGTGGTAAATCAACTATTCACCGATTTCACTCTGTGCATTTATACAGCTTCGCCTATAGGGGGAGACTCACTGCAGGGCTGAATTCTCCTCCCACCGCCCCTCGGCCCAGCAGAGAACTTAGTTCGCCCCCTAAACTGAAAGGTAACAGGTCAGATCGTACCAGGAGGCCAAAGCACAAATCTGGATCTGCTCTTAGCCAGGACCTCGCCTGAACTTCTCTTGCCCCAGAATTGCAGTGGCGCCGGTACAATGTTTCCTAGTTAGTCTTTCGTTATTGCTTATATAGCGCTTTTTTCTGGACACTCCACTCAAAGCACTTTCCAGGTAATGGGGATCCTCTCCACCACCCCCAGTCCGCTCCCCCCACGCCAGCTGTCCGTGGGCAGGAGAGCAGAGTGATGAAGCAAGTTCAGAGGGGGGGGTTATTAGGAGAGATGGCTGGTGAAGGTCAGGGGGACATTTGGCTAGGACGCCAGGGTAACACCCCTACTCTTTTCGAGACACTTGGGGATTTTTAATGACCACAGAGACTCAGGACCTCGGTTTTGTTTAATCTAAAGGACGGCCCCCTTTTTACAGTACAGTGTCCCCGTCGCTAAACTGGGGCATTAGGACCCACACAGTCCGCAGGGTGAGCGCCCCCTGCTGGCCCCACTAACACCTCTTCCAGCAGCAGCCTCAACTTCCCCAGGGGTCTCCCACCCAGGTACTGGCCAGGCTCACACTGCTGGGCTTCAGGGGGCTGCCAGCTGAGAGGCGCAGGGCAATACGGCTCTGGCTCACAGAAATAAACGGTAAACTGTCCGAACGGCACCTGTTTTCCTAGTTAACAGTTGTGAAGCAGAGGCACACAACCGGCTGAAGTTTTAAGTGTTTTGCTAAATACTTGTGGTCGTCGCTGTGTATTTCACAGAACACCTGAACAGCGCTAACAGGAGCAGATAGAACAGTACTCATCTACGAAACCCACTCTCGGCAAGTTAAAACATTGTGATGGGGTCAACGTTCCTGCAGTCTGTGCGGCATCTTTACTCATATCCTTCAAAGCCAGCAGTTCAAACAGCACCCCCAGAGACTCCATCTGGGAACTGCGCCATTTCCACTCTACCAGTTTCAACTTCGTTTCACTGCGCGAAAGAAAACCCAATAGATGTGGCGGACAACTTGGTTATCATGGGACACATTAAGACGTTCCTCCCTATCCAAATATCTTTCCTGGGTGAGCAGCGGAAAGACAGAAGTACTCGGGTTTCCAATCACACAGTTTGTAGTTCAGAAAGTATTACAGTTACATTTCCAGGCTATTGATTTAACGGATCTGGTCGTTCAGATCTGCCTGGGAAGAGTTCATAATAAAGGCTAATGCACACATTAGAGGCTGAGAGTGGATAATGGCTGGCAGACAGAGTGCAACACTTGCCCGTAACCCAATGGTGAGCTGGCAGTTATATCGATCTGGAATTGCGCTGGACATGTTTATTCCCCAGTTTCTTTTTAATGGCGCCCAACGATTTCTGCACGCACTGCTTTAGCTGTGTAAGGCTGAGGCCCATTAGAGAGCTGGCCACTGAGCTCCCAGCCTTCGCAGTGTACTGCAGTGTTATCTTGGAATTTGTCCCAATAGTTTCCATCTGTGCTGGACATCGCCAGCAGCCGTATCACCCTGCCCCTCTCAGCTGGCAGCCCACTGAAGCTCAGCAGTGGGAGCCTGGTCAGTACCTGGATGGGAGTTTTTCCCAGGAGGTCTAAGGCTGCTGCTGGAAGAGGTGTCAGTAGGGCCAGCAGGGGGCGCTCACCCTGCGGTCTGTGTGGGTCCCAATGCCTCGGTATAGTCATGGAGGCACCACACTGTAAAAAGGCGCCGTCCTTCAGATGAGATGTAGAACCCAGGTCCTGACTCGCTGTGGTTTCCCAGGGTGTTTCGCAGGGTTTTCTCTGAAGCTCACCAAGGTCCGTGAAGGTGTTCCCGCTGACAGCGGCTACAGGTGTATGTTGGACCAGTGCCCACAGGCCTGAGCAGCGCACCAGGGAGTCAAAGCCGAGAAGGAAACAGGACAGGAGGCAGGAAAGCGTCTGCCTCATGAAAAGGAGGTGCAGGACTCGGACCGTCACCCTCCTAGACGACAAGCCCCCGATGTCTCATCTGTTAATTAACAAGGAGCTTTGGGACCATTAAGGAGAAAGTTAATTAATTTCGCTAGGCAGTTGTTACACAGACCAGAAACCTCAAGATCCCATGAGTGAGTGCGGTCTGCAAGAGAAAAAAAGAACTCAGTTCAGCTCCAGGAGGGTCTGGCAGGAGCAGGGGCAGGGGCAGGGGCAGGAGAGCGACACTCAGATCTACACGGTGCCGCATTCCAAACGAGATCAATGTCCTACAGCCAGCCGTGGTTCCAGAGAACAGGGAACGGACTACACAGCAGATGAAACCCAGAGGATCAGTGCACTATTGATCTGGGAAGAAACTGGAAGCTTTGATGGTTTGGGCTGAAACCAAGCCCAGCAGCCACTGAGGCCAGAGCCCTGCATCCCCAGTCTGGACCTGGCCCACACTCATCTCCTTCTCCCTCACGATGAGAGACATTACACCTGTTCAGTTACCTCACTGGAGGGGATATGATAATGCCAAAACATCAAATCATGTCTCCTCCCTCTCACAGTATGAAGGGTTGCAATCATGCTGCTTATTTCATAACAGGACATATGTCTGGGGATGCAGCTTGTTAAACAGAATATGCTTACACACGTAAGTAGCCAGGAGCCAAGAGCAAGGAGGACTAACTGAACGAAGATGTCATTTAAACTGCAGCAAGCTCCTGCAACAGGCTTCCAGATGAAACGGCCAGTCAGCTCTGGTGGGCTCGTCGAAGCAGATTTCACTGGACACGGCTGTCCACTTCGGAGACACTCGACACAGCACTTTAACATAACGACAGATTTATTTTCATAAAAACCACAAAATACAATTAAATTACCTGAAATACAAAACACTTTAGTTTTAAAAGTCTTCAGTACATAAAAAAAAGCTAGAGCTGTTCCAACGATGTGTATACACCAACACACATCACCACACCGCTGTTCCCTGGTGCGGCCAATACTAATCCAGTGCAAAACTGAGGACTTCCTCAGCTGGCAATTCAGCCAATATCAAGAGAATACAAAGGCAGCACACTAATGCTAGTCTGAAACTGTTTAGGAGTGAAACCATTTCTCCAGCTTTCTGCAGAAGGTACTGCCTGGGGAACTGTGTAGCCACCCTTCACATCAAGGTTTCATCCCTCCTAAACACAGGTGTCTGGGGCAAGAGCAGCAGAGTCAAGATCTTGAGGAATTTAATTCTGGTTTTGCAACCAGCACGCCCACACCTACCTGCTAGGCAGAGGGAGCTTATGTGACCGAAAACCCACAGCAGGACTCAAGAGAGCACCCTTCCTGCTGGGCAACAGGATAAATAAAGACTTCCTCTCCCTGAGACAAGAGCAAGAATCTTGCATTTACAAGTGGTGAATAAGAAAGAGTCTAGAACAATATGAAATTCTGAAAAAATACCATAAATCTCAATTATCTAAATAAGTTGTTAACAGTTCAGTATTTGGCATTATGATGTCAACAGAAGCTGGTTGGCTGCATCAGTGAGAATTCTGATTTGTATTCCCACCCCTGCAGCCTTGAGCGAATGAGCTTCTAGGAGATGAAACACCCCTCAGAGGCCCTGAGGACTGACAGAGCTGGCCAACGGGCGAGAGCAAGCTCCTGGATCACCCCTCCCGCTGCGACGCCGGGCCAGCAGGTCACACAGGCCCGGCCTCCAGCGCTCTGCAGCCCAGCGGGTCGGTCTGGCTGCCACAGCGCGCCGCGGCACTGCCGGCGCCCGCAGCCCACTCCAGCTCGGCGGACAGCAGCACAGAGCACAGCCGCGCCTCGTACCCGCTGTCCTGCACCCCGGCGCACGTCAGCCGCAGCACCTCCAGGTCTAGCGCCCCCTGTTCCCTCGCCGCTGGAGGGGCCCCCAGCTGGGAGAGCAGGCCGCAGTCCCAGTCTGACTCGGAGGAGAAGGACTGCAGGTGGGGAACGCAGGAGCCCAGCACCTGCTCTGCCCTCGAGAGACAGGACGAGGGAGGGTCTGCAGGGCACGGGGGGAGGGCAAGGGCACTGAAACCAAGAGAGGCGCACTGCTGCCGGCTCACAGTCAGGACCTCCCTTTCCTTCGGCACTGGGCCGAGGTCCTGAGAGCCTGGCTGGTAGCGAGTGGGCAGAAATGGTGAAGGACACTGTTCTTCAAGGAGCCTAGGGTGAACAGCCCCGAAACACGCAGAAATACCCTGTCCCGCGTATCCCAGGAGCGTCTGTGGGACAGCCGGATTCTGTCCCTTTTCCGTCGAGGGACTGTGGGACTGACTGAACCAAACATGACACTCACAGAGTGGAGCCCGACAGCTGGCATGGCTTTTCTCATTTAGGACGGCACCCGATGGGCTGCCGTCTTCATGAGCTGGTGCCCTGGCTGGTTCACGCTTTTCCACCGCAGAAGCCGCCATATCCTGCGGCCCACTAGCTGAGGCAGGGTCTTGCTGCTGGAGCCCGGAAAGGACCTCGCCGGCCGGTGTCGAGAGGCGCAGACGAGGGGATCGCTCTTCGTCGTCCACGTGATGAACGGCGGACGGGCAGTGGAAGGTGGGGTCAGATCCGTGGATCGGGGAGGTTCTCCGGATCTTCCTAGCCCTGGGGCTTGTGCTGGCTGACCTCTGGCGCTTCCGGAGGTTTCGGGGAGAAGGGATGACAGAGAGGGTTGGCTTTCCTGGGTCCGAGTGCTCCGGCTCTGCGCCGAGCCTGGAATCTCTCGCTCCCCCCTGCTGCGGCTCGTCTTCCTCCGGCGCCTCTGCCTCTCGGGGCTGCACGGCCTGCAGGCGCGGGCCGGTGGGAGTGGCCCTGCCGGCCTCGGGTGCCGGGGAAGTGGCTCCAGCGCCGCAGGCTGGCAGCAGGCTCCCCCCGGGCCCGTCCTCGGGCCAGTGCGCACCGGGCAGGGACAGCAGGGCCTCCAGGTGCCGCTCCGCCTCGCTGCTGCCCTGCGTCAGCTCGCAGGGCGGCTCCAGGCAGCCTGCCGGGGGGGAAGCCACCCTGGACAGGAAGTGATGAAAAAACACATGAGCCATTTCCTGTGGAGCCACAATATATGGCTTCCTCTATCAAACAAGAAGCAAACCGTCAGAAGACTTTGGCTACATGGATACTGCCTTACATAGTGGGGGATGGTCTAATATGGCAAAAGCCTAAATTTAATCTTAATTGACAACAATTCAGCATGCAAATACATCCATCCAATACTTGTCAAGTGTTACAGGTGGAATACGGATCTTGTATATTTTACACAGGCAATGCCATTTGCTCCTTCTACAAAGGACTTGTATCTGTGTGTGAAGAAGTCACCCTGACCTCATCAGCTGACTGTGATGGACTTGACTCTCCACAAACTCTGGAAGCATCTGCGAGATGAGCCTGTCCACCACGCTGTAGTGAGAGGAGTCCTGGGCAAACAGCCTGTGCTGCTCAGACTGGAGGTGCTGCAGAGCAAACGGGCACAGAGGGGCGTCATTCATATTTCTGCCCTTTTAAGAGGAGCTACACATCTAGAAGTGATACAGGGGACACGAGCTTTCTTGACAATTTCAAGATCTGTTGGCAGAGGAAAAAATTACACCAAGGCCAAACATCACAACTGGACACTTTTACAAATACATTTGTAATTTTTTTATAAAAAATGAATGGATAACTGATAAAACATCAAGCACAAAACACCTGCAGAGCCTGATGCAGATGCTCACACAGAAGCCTGGCGTTGACACCATGGAAATGGGAGCACTGATTATACACGAGCAGAAATTAAGACAACACTGCAATTTTAATGCACCGTCATTGGCAGCAGTGGAAACATGCTGTAATAATATAATCTACTGGAGAGCAGCCTAACAACAACACCCTGCCAGCCTCCCAGCACCTTACACTCTGAGGCATTCAGACAATCTGACATTTCAGGATATAATCTTGCCTGCTCGCTTTCCAGGAAATTACCATATAGATTACAAATGGGAAAGTTTAAAATGGCCAGCATTTGAATGAATGAATTTCTCCCCTTTGATCTTTCTTCTGTTGCTGCAGCGGCTGCCCTGGTTGTGGCGGTCGGGTCTACAGGCGGAACGGCGGGGTGTGCTTTGCTGTTGTGTGGCAGACAGGGAGGCCGAGGTGATGCCCCTCGACGCCAGCGGCCGGAGGAGGGACCGAGTGTGGCGCGCTCAGACCCCGGTGGTGTGCCGGCTCACCTCACTCAGCCCCGGGAAGGTCTGCTGGCAGCACTCGCAGAACCCCCGCTGCGGCTGGCGGGCCCCCACTGCAGGGGCCACCGCAGGGCCCGGCCTCCGCTGGCCCTCACTGCTGGTCAGGGCCCGGCTCTCATTCCTGCCACAGGGGACACAAGGGACAAGAGCTACAGTGGCCAGCCAAGCCAGTCCCTGGACAGCTTGGGAGCTGACATTCCGGGTCACCACGCTCATCTGGCTGCTGGGAGCTTAATGATCCAAACGGCTCACCGTCCATTCGAAGAACAACGGAAACTATAAGGTCTTGAGGTGAAATTTAATGAGAAACTAAAAGTCTTTAGGAACGATGCTGGTAACAATACCCCAAAGCTCCCAGTGAGCACAAGAAAAAGGCTTATTTGCCCAGAGATGGAAATCAGCTGCTGAGCCTCCCAAATGCAATGGGAAATTACACAGTTCTCCTAATTGCCACCGACCATCAGATGTGCTGTATTTAAGCTTTGAAAGATTTGAAAAGTCTTTTAACAGTTTTTACAATTAAATATGCTTACCCTCTGGGACATTGTGGCACTCTGAAAACTCCAAAGCCACCAGCATGACTGCTGGGATACCTACTTGACTCTGTTCTGCTCACAGTCCTCCTCCTTCCCAGGTGGCAGTGGGGAAACAAAGGGGCTGAACCGGTCAGGTCGGGTGAAGTCCAGCTCAGGAAAGCTGACGAAATGCTGGTACAAAGGCCTGTAGCACCTAAAAACATCAAGCAGTACAGGCAGTGCCCATCACCCCACACACACCGATCACTCCAGCGGATATTCTTCCCTAATTTAATGAGGAAGAGCAGGACAATAATGTGGCACTGAACCCGATTCAGACCTGCTACACAGAGATGTGATGCCCAGCAGATCTGTGCTATAAAAGCAAACCGGTACTAGCTTAGTACATTTCTTCAGCATTTAAGCAGTCATGAGCTAAGGTTATTTTTTTACTGATAACTGTCAGGGTCGACATAATGAATGTGCTGGACACACAAAGCATTTTCACAGAGAGAACACGATGGGTCACGTGTCTGGGTCAACCTCAAGCTAAACTTTAAATGACTTGGAAATCTTTCAATGAAGCTGCTCAGAGCTGCCCTGGACAGCTACAGCCAAACAGGTCTCATAGGGAATTCAAAGTTCAAGAACTAAAGACCTAAAACAGGTGGAACAAGGACTAATAAGTCAATAAATGGCATCGGGCCTCTGTCATGTTGCTTCAGTTTTCAAGAACCTGAAATCCTGCAGGCACTCTGGCACCAGGGCTGGCAGACCGACTACAGAATAGAATTTCTCAAGGGCAGAGATGGCTTGAGTTTTATTTCTTTAGCCTTTGGCTTTTGGGCAGCATTGCAGACAGTGGAATATTGTCTTGCAGGTGCTTCATTCACTAAGGCAGCCTAACTGACTTCAAACAAAAGAGCTGGTGGGAATGGAAACCTCTTCTGGAAGGGGGCTTTCTGGAGCCAAACCCTTCTTCTCTGATGTGAGGAAGGGCCTCAGCCGTCGCCCCACAACCCCGCTGGTCTATCGTCTGGAACAGCTGCAGGGAGGCAGGGCGACGGGCACCCCCACACAGCCAGCAGCCTGCCTGGCCCCGATCCACAGCCCTTCATTAAAAAAAGATGCAATTTACAAACTGCTCTGACAGGTGGCAGGTGCGCTGCAATGGGAGCGTCGCTTTCCTCCCAGCAGGCCTCTACAGGCGGGCTCCCCCACCACGCCCGCCTCCCCATGCCCGCGTGCTGATTAAAGCTTAATACCAGCTGCTGGCCAATTTCAGGTTCTTGAGTCTGGTTACACCCAGGGGGATGGATTTCTTTCAGGAGGAGGGTCAGCTGGAGTTTACTGGAATCCTACTCCCGTCCCAGGAAGACAAACCCACAAACCTCAGACAAACACCCGGTCAACTCCTGATGAATATAAAGGCCATTTCATTCCTGATGCAACAACGCATTGTTCTGCGTAGGTTGTGCAGAAAACACCATGTAGAAACAGAATGATGATCAAAACAGCACACAGCACGTGAACTGTGACACTGTCATTCACCGACAAAAGAGCTTTGAACAGTGAAGGCTTTTGTCTTCACTGAAATGTTTCTCTAACCCTTGCAAGTGTTAAAGTTTGCGACAGCTTTTCTCCTTCTCCCTGACACACAAACCTGAGTGCAGAGAAACCACTTCACTGCGAGATCTGTTGAGTTATCCCCTTACAATTTCACACTTCTCAGTGACTGAAGGGCAGCTGCTTTGCACCTGCAGTTTTACTGACACCAGCCTGCTAACCGCGTCAGTGAGAATGAGGCTGGGAAGGTCTCTATCTGTGGGATTCCCAGGCGCTGCTGGCTGGTGACCCTCTCCAGCTAGGGGGACACTATACCCGGGCGATTGGAGACTGAGCTCCATCTGCCCTACCTCCCCCATGGACCACTCACCTGCTGGAGTCCTCGACTTTCACAAAGGGCTGCTTGAGCCTTCCAGCTGTTCCAGAAGAAAAAAATAATCAAAAACTGCCTGCAGTTTCTTCACAGTCCTGACCACGGTCTGGGTTATGGCCTGTTGGAAACCTTTCAGTATTTTGATTTTAGTTCACTGCAATAACAAAACAACTGTATATACATAAAGACTGTAAAACCTCTAAGGACTTCCAAGTTCATAAATGCAAGTCATTGCTTTCTAAATAAACTCTCTGAAAGTAAAAAGTAGGCAGTGACAATAAAGACAAATTCCAACTTAAACATTCTGGAAAGAAAACAATCGAAATGTTCCTGTCTGGCTCACGATCAAATTCCCGGGAAGCGCTGGCGAGTCTGACCTTTGATGACACGGCCGGCAGGGCCTGGCGCCACAGTCTTCTGTAAGAGGAGAAGAAGCACCATTACAGGCTGGGCAGACCAGGGTCCCAGAACCTAACTAGCCAAACCACTAAAACAAGCTTTAATTTCAGCTGTTTATTTGCACTTCCTAAACACATAGGGAGGCTGCCCTTTCACCACTGCGTTTAAGTGACTCAGACTCTCCCATCTTCAGGGTTTGTCGGAACCTGTTGGCTCAGCTGCTATGGAACCCTGCGGTCCTGCTCTGGGCCGTCCAGACGCCGGGTCTGAAAGAATCCCTCCCCAGCAGCTGGGTACAGAGCACAGCTTGGTTTTGTGGAGGTAAAAGGAGCTCTGTACCGTCTTCATTTCTCCAGCAGAAAGCTGTGATTTTGTTCCTCCTTAGATGGATTCTTTCATCATTCAAACATCTTCGGAAAGGTCAACTTGACAAGACCCACAAAGATCAGCACAACACAGCAAATATAACCATTGTTATAGCTGAAATTGTATCTCTTTCCATCAAAATGAGAGCTTTCATTGTAACTAGATCAGGGCTGATTAAACAGTTTAAGCCATCTGTCAGTTAACAACTGGTTTCCATCACAGAGAACTGAAACGAGTCTTTCAAACAAAACGCACAAGTTGAGCGAGTCTAACGTATGATCCAGTCCAAGTATGCCTTGCTGGAAGATCACCTGCTTAAGAATGGAAAACCAGTCTCTCTAAAAAACACAAAGCTCAATTCGACGTGCTTTTTCATTCTGAAGCTAATTTTAGTTACAGAGTCAAACTAATTACCACAGTAAAAATTTAAATAATTTGTAAATGAATTCCCCATGGAAATGTACCTGGAAGGCTTGAAGGACTCCAGGTCCGATTTTATATCCTGATCTCCCTCCTAACCCAGCATCCCTCCTGACTCAAAGCTCACCCAACACCTGCCCCACAGCTCATTCACCACGCCTGGCCACCACAGCCTACCTCCGGCTTCCCCTTCCTGAACTGAAAGCTCCCCGCACGGCCCTGCTCAACGTAGGCCAAAAAGTCTGGAAACACAAAGTTAAGGCACAGACATGGAGTCTGTGTTTTAAGAGATTGCAAAAATGTTAGCAACTTTTTCAAGCAGAGCCCCAAGTTTGACATTATAGTGCGGTATTCAGTAACGTTTATGGGGAATTTCTCAAAGTACTGAGGACGATTTTAATTTTTCAATACGCTGTTTAACTGCGAACCCAACACCAGGCTACTCAGCTTGAGGTCCTTCCAATCCCCTGGAATGCAAAATTCAAACAGCAGCATTTTAATTACTTTATTGATCAGCAAATCCAATATAGCGATCAAGCTGTACGATGGGTCCAGAAGAGAGAGCTATGGAAGGGGTGTGCTACATAGCCTGGATACGCGTCGTCACTGTGAGATGGCCCTATGCTGCCACCAAGTGGGCAGTCTACATCACTGCAATAAGACCAGGGAAGAAGCAGGAAGGATCTGTCCTGTCAAATGTGGCTCTCTAGGGGTCCAGGCAGTGACAGATGCAAGTGTGTTGCTGTCTAGGACACCAGCTGACAACCAATACTGGCGAGTCCCTGAATCAGGGCTCTCCAAGATGTACACAAGCTAGTCGTGTGCTTGAGTGATTTCATTGGATCAGTCATGTTTAACTAGTACAACTGAACCAGTTTTCCGAGTCTCTGCTTAATCGTTCGTTTTAAAAATACCTTGGGAACTCTGCATTTATTTAAATCCAGACCACCCGAAGTCTAGGCCCAGATAAAGAAAGATTGAACCTATCATCTCTGAAGGACCTAAGAGTGAACATGGAATGGTAATACCCGATGTAAATGATTAAACTCCAAGGGGAAGCAGCCAAGGTCAATTTAAAGTGAGGTTCTGAAAAGAACACCAACAGAGATGTCATGAAGGATACCGTCGACGTGCAGAATCTTGATGTCCCATGAGCGGGCTTGGGCCAGCACACTGCTGCCCTCGCTGTGCTCCTCCTGCAGAGAGAGAAGCCAGTCAGCCCGTGTGTCCATCACCATGCTGGAGCCTTATTATCCAGACACTGTTGTTACTGAGTGAACAGGACAGATGCAGACATCTTTACATCTCAGTGCAATAACTTACAGAGCTGAGTTTCTACACCCCAACGGACACATACTGTCCGACGTACATTTGACACTTGTGTGGGAAGAAGGAATCACAGCGAGAGACACAGGATGATGTTAAATCACAGGCCACCAGGCTCTCAGCCCATGTTGGCACATTCCCTAAATACCTACTGAGCTGTGCAGGGTGTCAGGAAAAACCACAGATCTTCTCACAAAAGAAGAAAAAACTACAGATTTTTTTGCAGGAGTAGTTTTGATCAAGCTTTAGAATTTTATGTTATGCTATCACACTTCCTGCTAATTTCTGATGGTTTAAGTAATGCACCTGCTATTTTTGCAGAAGACGACGCAAGAGTGCTATGGGATTTCTCAACACAAACCTGACAACGTTATACTGGTTTACCCAAACTAGAGATTAAACTGTGCAGGATCACTATAATTTCTGCATGAAGGTAAAGAATGCATGGACAGGTCGTTTTGGGATCACTTTATATCACTGTAATTCCAGATACAGATGCACAGAAGTCACGTCCGTGGGCCCCTGTACTCACACTGTTCCGGATCACCTTCCCCAGTAACACCTTTCCTCGGCTGCCACAGACCTGCAAGGACAGCAACAGTCAGGCGGAGCAGACAGCCAGTCTCCCTCATGCACATCACGCCTCACACAGTGTCCCTCACAGAGGCCCTGTGAGACAGCTGCAGCACTAGGACTCAGCCCTGTGAGGGAATGGGTGTTTGCCAATGGAAGCGCACAGTTAGCACCACTAACGCGGTAGGTAATTAGGGCTCACTGCCAGTCTGTTACTTTATTCCATGTTCAGGCTTTGATGGCAGTTCCATTACATCTACTGTGCCAGTTCCTCATCGTCTGTCTAACCCTGGTTGTATTACATAAAAAACACACAGAAAGCATACAAAAAAAAAGACAACTATTTAACTTCCACAGACTATTTTTACTGCTTAGAAGACGTACTGTCCTTCACGTTGTGTAAATCTCACCTCGGGTGTGAGTGGCCAAACCTGAACTCAATTTACAGTATCATTCTACACAACGACACCCTTATTGTCGCGTGGACTTCTGGGAGTGTTGAATGCTGCCTATCCCCCAGTTTCCCTGCAGGTGGTTAACAGACACTGAAACCACTTCACACGCAGCAGAACTGGCAGCTCTGCGCCGTGCAGCGCGGGCATTTGTCTCCTGCAGGGACTCCGAAGACAGCGCGAGCGGCCATGCCTTACCACGCTGTCCACAGAGCGCTGGCTGCCCCGCGCCCGCCCCTCTCTCCTGCGTGCGGGGTTCTTGGAGCAGGCCGCTGCCGTTCCCGCTGCAGGCTGGGAGCCACAGTCCCCTCGCGCCTCCCTGCTGCCCGACAGCACGAAACTGACATCCTTACTGAGGAAGCTCTCGACTTTCTGGAACATAAGAACAGACATGAGCAGGAGCCATGAGCAGGCCTGCTTGAGGAGCCCCAGCAGAGTCGCTATGGAAACCGCTGGGCCCTCAGGGTGCCACACTACAGTGCCACAGCTCCTGTCAGAAGGCAGGATCAGCATGGGGACTCCCGAAACACGCAGAGAGGCGGGCTTTTAACCGTCGCCTTAAACTCAGACTCTCCCATCTTCAAGTTCTAATGGAACCTGTTGGTTCAGGTGAGGAGCTCAGCTGCTTTGGAGGCTGGGCCACTTCCCAGCTTACCGTCACCGCTGGGACCTGCAGAAAAACACCAGTTTAAAGTAACCTGCGAGGCCCAAGTATACCTTCCCTCGTCTGACCCGCGAGTGAGGTTTCTGGATGCCCCTGTGGTTGACGAAACCACCTGTAACGAATACGGAACTATATGGGAAAATGTGAGCTGGTTTTACATGGCCGGCAATCGACTTGGGTAGCCTCTGCTTTTTTCTCTAATATATACACAGTAACAACATTACAGTGACGCTGATGCACACGCAGCCTGTGCCCTGCGGTCAAGCCCACAGGTTCACTCTGCAGGAGCTGCTGGGGGATCAGCCCCACCTCGGTGCTCTAAACGAGCCAGGCAGGGTTTACTCGATTGCGCCGTACCCCTCCCAGTCGTCCGATGGCCTCCACCAGCAGGGCGGCGTGCTTGCTCTTCAGGCCGTCCAGGTAGAAGGTCTTCCCGGCCAGGGGCTGGCTCCCAGGAGAGAGCTCCTCGTCCAGCCACTGCATCGCCAGCCCTGCAGCATCACAGACAAGCCCCTTCACTGCTGGGGACAACCAGTGCAACACACCCCCAGAGTGACGGCCAGGACCCCCGCTGCACACAGACACTCAAGCGCGCCAATGAGTGATCCCGGTTGCGGCGTGTCTTCGGACTGCAGGAGGAAACCGGAGCGCCTGCATAATTATTATTAAGAGACCTTAAAGTCCAGACACCTGCAGGTCTCGACACCACCGACACTGTAACCAAGTAAAGTATTATCTATCTATCTATTAATAAAGTATTATCTATCTATCTAAACTCTCATCAATAGAAAGTAAAAATATCACAGGGCTGAAGAAAATCGGTTTTACCAACAGTCTTAATACCACTTACAGTATAATCACAACGGCCACAAAAACAGTCCTTCCGAAAGCTCTAATCAGATTCAAAAACACACAAACATGGCCTCCATCTGCCAAGCCAAACAAAACAGTAACATTTTCCATTCGTTATACAAATATCCTTTTAGAAATATGAATCTCGGCACTCAGCATGAACCTCTTACCGCCCCGGGCTACTAAATAAGCGAAATGGAGCAATTAAAAATCATATCTCTCTCCAAAATAACGCCACCGCTATCCGGGCAGACGATAGCTTGCCTTTCAATTAAGAAAGCTAAGCTCCTTTTCCATTTTTGAAAATTATTTCATATACCAGTGACAACACGTTCTCCAAACAAAGTGAAAAGGCCGAAAACTCAAGTAAAAACAGCTCGTTCGTTACATACAAACACTGCCCCAGTAAACCAACGGCTGAACAGCCGAGCTCTTCGCGCAAGTGAGTTACGCCGCTGGAAATCATTTAAAACGCTTCTAACTCACCGGTTCCTTAAGGTGTCCAACTCCTTGTTTATATGTGCAGGAAAGATGCTTTGTTTCGTGATTCAGGGACTCTCCCCTCCTTGTTCCCAAGGCTTCCCAAACACTCGCTCCCCAGCCGGGAGTTTGAAAGTCCGGCCAGCGCGCCGACCAACAAAGACTCGGCCTCCGCGGCGGTACGGCGCGGCGGCGGGGACACGCCGAGCGGCGGAGGTCGCATTTCTTGCAAGAAGGGGGGCCATCGATGGAGTGGATACCAGTTGTAAGTGACACCCCCGTTGTGACACGCCTGTGGGGTGAGCAGAGATCGTCTTTGGCATCCAGGGCTCAGAAGGCAGTGAACAGGCACATGCATGTAAGTCCAGAATCGCACCAGACAGACGGCTGCAAAGAATGTGTCTCAGTGGTACAGCTCATACTGTACGAGTTCTCAGACAGACCGCACACAGCAGACCCTCTGGGCACAGCCCTGGGGATGAGAAGCTGTTAACAATCGGCACAATTACTTTAACTGGTCAATAGAATATCTGTGCCCCCTTCTACTAAAAAAGATGGCCTTTTTCCTGATAATACCTTTTAGTATAAAAGAACATTTTCCTTGGACATTTGGTTTTCTCAAACAGTTCTTTCATTCAGCCTGACATTTTTCCAGA